TATTTTGCATGCATGCTAGACATCATCTTCTCTCTGATGACGCACTGTCTCGCTTACTTTCACCTGATTCCTCACTCTTATATGCCATGTTATGTCTATTTCTGACTTGTCCGATTGTCATGTTATATTGATCCGTGTTTTAATCATTAATTGCCGGTGTACCATTGATTGATTGATCGCATCATAAGGCCTGTAGTTTGTATATTCATCCTTAGATATAGACTTTCTCTCCATAATCACGCGCGCTTCTCGACCAAAATCATTGCAGACATGTTCGACATGTGGCGGTTAGCTCCCTCATAGGGTGCGCCAAAATTGATAATTTATGTATTTTGTTAATAAAGATTCTATCATACTTGTCTATTTGCTAAAACTTTGTACACTACAGCTAATTTACCGTATATTTTTTCTGAAGAAATCAATTCCTCTACAAGTGGAAGTGAAATCTCAAAATCAGGTTATATCAACTGAATATAATAGGAAAGTTTTGATCGCAATATTGTACTGAGGGTGTAGTTGCACACTAAATATCATATCCAAGGATAAAGCTTTGACAACTCATGCTAGTATAATTTGATATGATATGATATGTGGTGTGCTGCTCCTTCTGCCTTTCTTGTTGAGTTTCGCTAAGATAGCTAGGACCCCCCTCTATAAAAGCTTTAGAAGTACTGGGGTTGTAGCTGAGGAGAAGTTAAACAGGTAGGAGGATTGTTTTAGTTTAAACTTTTATATCATCGTTCAACTTCAAACGGAATGCTCAAAGTATTTGTTTGATTAAAAGACATATGAAAATAGAATTTAAAACCTTTTTGTCTCGATGATGTTGTTCTGTAACGGCCAAATCGCGCTTTTCTTTAGAATTGCTATGCAGTGAAGTTAACGCCAGGAACGAAGGTTGAGTCTATCACACATCGTTGCAAAAAAGCAAAAGGTTTTTGTGCAAGGTTTTTATTGGAAAAGGTACTATCACTATTATATGGTCAAAGCATAGATTACAAAAATTGGAAACTTTTTAATGTTCTAAGTTTTGTTATAAAGGCAATATTTAGTGATAAGCTAATCGCTTTTACAGTGATTTGGTTTGGGTTGCCTATTTGTTAGTAAGCAATTATTGAATTTACTCCTAAATGTTGAACTGTAAGTAGAAAACTGAGTTTTTATGGATGTGTGAAGTGGCTTAGCTCTATACATTTCATTAATTTTTGGTGTGTTAAGTGTGGATATTGTCACTTAAGCTCTTCTTGCTCATATTTGCATTTGCGCCTACTGATTGCTATTTGGTAAATCAAAGGGGTAGCAGTGACGGCTAGAAAAATCTTGAAGTGTTGTGAATTTTGCAACCATGCACGTTCGCAGTAAAGGATGCCATTGTTCGCAATAAAGCATATGCGGAGTATTCCAATATAAATTAACCGTTAGTGGACATTCTATCTATGATTTGATCAGTTTGTAGTTTGGGATGAACTACATGCCCGCAGTAGTGCGCGCCTGCGCATCGCGGCTCAAAAATGCACCACAAAAGCAGTGCAAGCGCGTATTTGACGCATCAGCGTGCGGAAGTATAGCTGTGGACCTTCGCCTGCGTTGCAAATCATGCGCGCTTATTGGGAGAAATTTTCTTCATAAACATGCCATTTTCAAATGAATTTTTGAAAAACGCCGTAAAAGGTTAGTTGCATCATGAGCGCATGTCATTCCGAAAACGTTACTAAAAAAAACAAAGCAGTGCATGCTAAGGACCAAATCTGGTAACAGATTGAGATAAAACTAATAAAAGGTGTGATCATCGTGATAGGTAACTTCAAATACATTAATAATGAGAAACAGAGGAAATTTGTAGGAAGCATTAAGAAATGGCCCGATTATGACGAAAGGGAACAACTTGAGGTTTTTTGGGATGAAGCATGGTTGAGATCGCACATGCGAACAACAAAATCCACTCCACTATGCATGGTAGCCTACCAAAATTTATGGATAAAGGACTACTTGTCGCCTCTAGACCTCCTCCCTTCGAACAACTGTTCCATTCCATGATTTATATGAACTGATTGATATGAACGCGACTCTCCTACGTAGAGATTCAATGCGTTTGTGAGTCTATTTTGAGGTTCCTTGAGACCATGGCGCTCCACTACCCTCAATAGTTACAATTTGTCTATTAGCGGATAGTTTCCTACTGGATTTATTTGTTGATATGCCATGTAGGACGCAGTAACAGATGTGCACTAAAATTTTTCAAGTATAGGAGATTTACAAGCTATTTTTGAACTGTTGCTTCACTGAGTGATCCACTTGTCTGGGATTTTTGAAATAAGGAGATGTTAAAAGTTCAATCTGATGTTTACGATTTAGACAGCAATTATGGCCGCACCTCCTGCTACTGAAACTGACATGAAAACATTCCGAGATTTCCTTATGCAATACAACAATGTGACCGAGCAATGCTTTGCAGCGTGTGTCAATGACATGACAACGAGGAATATCAGTGAAAAAGAAGAGAAGTGCACTATGAACTGTCTCGATAAGTTTCTCAAAATGACGCAGCGCGTCTCGCTACGGTTCCAAGAGCATCAGCTTCTTAATGCGGAGGTTCAAGGCGGCGCTCTCGCTAATATTTGAAATGTTTTAAAATGTATGTTGTTAGGTTTTCTCAGTTGTTTGACAATTTTTCGTCTTTTTTTTTGTTCCCTAAAATGTATTTGTGATGAACTACTGTAACAAGAACCTTTTTTTAAAATAGATTA